TCTTGTTTATATTGATTCATTCAAATCAGTTGATATATTCCCGATAACGGGCACCACGGCTATTTTATTTTTGGTGTCACCCTATTCAAATAAAAGTAATGTTATGTAACTCAAATTTGCATTCCAAATAAAAGATGATCATTTGATCAATGAGTTTCATTTAAAAAAGGTTGATAAGACCCACTCATTCAATGGTTCTCCTTCATTTGATATACAAATTTTAGATACATAGTATTTCTCTTCAAATAAATAGTTAAGAATCTTCAACGGTCCAATCTTTTCACCTATAAAAAGGCTAAGTTAAAAATCATTCAAGTAAATTGACTTATTCCGGTTGAAGCTATTTTCCTTAAATCATTCTTTTTTGACTCTATTATTAGAGCATCGACCACCGGAATTCTTATAGTCCTCAACTTTTCTTGCAGGAATCCTCTCACCAGGCTCCAAGTCACAATTCCGGCCATCCACCTCGGTGAACAGTTTTTAAGATCAATAGTTCCAATCATGAATACTTTACAGTACAACTTAAGGTATGACCAAAGCATAAATGTCAGATATACATAATCACCCAGAAATTATGTACAAAAAAAAAACACAATTTTTCATGCAATTACTGATCCTAAATTTGGAAACGGTCAAACTTACACTTCACACCTTGTTTGGTCATTAAATAAACACACGTGAGGTAATATATGCAAGATTGAACAATCTTATCCATTGAGTTTTTCTGATTAGGGAATCTTTAGGGCTCACGTCGTACAGTGCGCCCTTGGATACCAACATGTCAACAGAATGGGAGCGTCCCCCATAGTAGAGCAAACATACAACTATCTAATAAATTAAGTTGGAAGTATGTGCATGCATCTAAGTACTCTGTAGCAGGGCATCCAATGATCTTGACTCCCTTTAAATAAGGATCTGGTTGTAAACATTAGCTTGTTGGGTTTTTTTTTGTTGTGTGTGTGTGGGGGTGGGGGGGGAGGGGTGCCCTCACATTCCCATTAGTACTAGGTCAAAATGCAAAACTAAAGTAGTACAAAACATTAATTGTGAATTTTTTTTTCTTATAAGGTTTAAGTGGGTTTTACAAGTGTGTTACGTTTACGTATCTTTACATATCTAAAACGAATTGTAATAAACGCATCATTTTCAAAATCACCATCTGCACAACTCAACAAACTTTCTTTTTGTTGACAACCACATTAGCTAGCTCCATTAATCGTGGTCTAGATTGGGTTCTGCCTTTCTCAAAGCAAATTAAATCATATTGCAAGTCAATCTTATCAAAAAGAACGGTTTAGTTGGGTTGTTTACAAGGGCTTTTTCAAAATTGATTGGTGTGGATAAAAAAAAACGCTCTAAAATTAGTTGTTACAGGTGTAGAATGAATGCTTATCCACCTTATATATGTGAATATTCAATTCATAGCAGTACAGACTGACTATAAATGCAAGTAGATACAAAAGTATGTACAAGAATGCAGTACCTATTGTAGACCTATCAAATTCTGGCCTACCAATAATGGCTGTTGTGTGATATTGAAGTTTGATGCCCAATCTTAATTTAAAATTGGTGAAATCATTTGTTAGGAAGGTGAGACACAGCATGTGTTTAGTGCATTGTACAGAAAAATACATGAAATGTTTTGTGCTTGTTTCAATTATGTTCCTAAAAATGGGTCTCCAATGGGACAATTGCATATTATTCCTTGGCCTATTTGGTCCATTTTCGTGCCAAAAATGGTTTTAGACTTGGAGGGACACCTATACCCGACAAATATGCAAATGAGTGATTCACACCGGCTAACGAGAATAGTTCAAATGATAATAAAGACGAATTATAAATTTAGACATCTTGAATTTGAATTTTAGTAATTCTTTGGGTCAGATTATAAAGGATTTATCTCTCATAGATTTTTTAGTCCCAACGTATATGTCCTGCTTTTGATCAAACTGGAAATAAAATTAATTGAGGTATGCGTAAATTGATTCAAATATTTCTAACCTGTTGCAAAAAAAAAAAACAAAGTACATTCAACTGCCTAAGTGGTAGTTTGCAAATCACAAGAGGCTATATAATCAAATGGGTGGACCCTCATGTAAAACCCTTAACCAAGCAGGATATGTTCATAACCCCAACCATAGAAAATATAACGTCTTTATCAAATAGTGGAGTGGACCCCTTTTCTCTCCAGCCTGGTGGAGACCTTGGCTATAATTAATACTTGATGCAACTACATGGCTGGAACAAATCCTACCATTGTGGACCCTAATCTGTCAATGGGTTCAATGGTCCCATAACCATTGGAACATCCATACCAAACAAAATTTAAAACAAAGTATTTGTTGTGTTATCTTTAGATTAACCACTTTTTCAAAAACTATCTATACTTTTATATGCCACGATTATCATCACTGGTTATGTATAATGGTGTCAACTTTCAGCAAAAATTCTTTGATTTATTTTCCTTACAAGGATCACATAGTTGTTGTTAAGGGATTACATTATAGTTGTGGTGCTCGACTTGGCATTACCCAATCATAATAGGCCGAAACAGATTGAAGAGTTATTTTTTAATATCTAGCCTAACTTTGGCCATGAACACCCTTGGCTAGTTGTAGCACAATTTCATTTAATTACACACGAATGATACTAATATTTTTCAAAGTTAGAAATGTACCTTCTAAGATAAAAATATTTGACCATACAAGTGAATTAGAAAAAAAACAAATATTCAACCACCACACGCCTAATGGCCCGGCTCTCATTTTCTTATTATGAGGTGCAATCCTTGCAAAAAATAATATGTTTATGTGGTGAAAAGATATCAATCTTTACAAGATATAAGATTTAAATTCAATTTTTATAAATTATACAGATTTGTATCAATTTTATAAGTTATACATATCGAGGTTTAACTAAAAAAAAAGCCTCCAATATTCCGGCAATAATAATTGAGTTGTTTAATTGAGCAATCCTTTTATGGGTCCACAAATTTCTCAGCTTCTTGTGTCATGTTGTATGTCAATTGTGATCAAATGCTGGGACATCGAGTGTAAGCATTTTTCCCCTATGTGGTGTAGAGAATATAGCTTGATAACACATATCATTGGTCCAATAATAGTAGGCCACATAAATGTTCCACAAGAACAAAGTTCATCGCCCAAACACTCTAGCTGATCTGGACTGCTGGACATAGAAGGGGTCCTACTAAGGTGGACCCAGAAGAAAGAAATGACATGTGGTGATACGCTAGATGCATTTAGTGATGTGGCATGATAGGTGGGGGCCATGCACGAGATTGTAAGAACTGTCCTTCACAAAAAGGATTGGTGACCCTTTTTTTTTTTTTTGCCTCTTTTTTGTGTGGGGGATGGGAAAGGGAAGTTAGGAGAGGCTTTAAGACACACCCATCTGGCTATCTATCCATATTCATGTGCATTCATTAATCAATGTGGGTGAAATCAAAAGCAAAGGGAACCCTCTACAGGAAAAAGCATGATTCTTGTGGCTTACAAGGGAAGGGTCACTTTCTCATCCCTCCCTCCCTCCCCTCCTCCTTCAACAAAACAAATATGCTCGTACAAAATTACCCCAATGCCCTTCCTCTTTTATAGATTGCCATAATCTCCACTTTGTTCCATCTTTTGTCACTTGGTTTTTGTTTTCTTTTCCATTTTCAGCTTTCCCCACTATTGCCTTCTCTCCTTAGTTGATTTTACTAGGGAAAAAGTACACACTTTACCCGAATAATTTGTTGGAAATAGGAGTTGAAGACAAATTGTCTGATAATATATATATACATATATAGATTCCATAAAGAATAAATTGACATTTTGCATTTATCATCTTTACTAGATGAGCTGAATCTATATAGTTTAAAACTATTTGTATTCAATAGTATTATATAAAGGAATATATTCCAAATTTCTTAGTAGCAATCACGATTTTTTTGTTAGATCCATCACTCAAACATATTTTTAAAGATGGGTCAAATTCCAAACAAAATAACTAGATGTTAATCTATAGAAGGTTGGTTTAAGCTTTTCACGTTCATTAAGTAGTAGCCTAAGTCAACGAAGGTAGATTGAAATCCAAATCTCATAAATGATCATGATTTTGCATTGAAATCATTAATAGTGGTCCCATAATGATGATCTTATTCTATAATTCTTGTAATCTATATTTATTATCTTTTGTTATGATATGAATTTGTTGGATTATTTAGACAATAACATTCATTGCAAACCAAAATGACGAGAAGAGTATAAAAAAATAATAATATCAAATATTAGAAGAAAAAATCTAACTCAATCATCAACAATAATTTCTGCTCGATTTATCTTAGGGGGAAGTTCTTCCTCTCAAAATCATATGATGCAACAAAGTTCTTACAAGTGGGAAATCATTAAATATGTGTACAAGATTAAGATGAATATGCCTTTAATTTCAAATCTAGAAAAGAAACTTTGAGAGATTAAGATGAATATGCCTTTAATTTCAAATCTAGAAAATAAATTTCGAGGGTATATAGGTAAAATAACTTCAAAAGTATTTTAAAAAGAGGAAGAACCTCTTTACTTTCTCTTTGGGGCAATTTGCTGGCGTCTTATCTTTTCCCCGGTAGTTGAACCCGAGGACCCGTGATTAGGTTACCGGATATACCCGGTTGCAAAACACCAAATTACCGCGTAAAGCCGGTCAAATAAGAGTAGCCTGTTTTTTAGTGTGGGAAGCTTGGGGATTCAATGATAGATTATAGTGCTTATAGTTATAGGCCTTAGAGGTCTAGAGGGAGAGAAGAAGAACTCTAGAGAGAGAGAGGGAAGAAGAATCTGTGGTGCCAGCGATGAAGTAGAAGGATCAAAGCTTTCTCTGAGGTCAAAGCTGGCACTTGTTTTAGGGCCTTGTTCTATCCTCCGCCATACCCACCTCCTTCCCTTATTTACACTCATGTCCCTTCAACTTTAAATGCCATCTCTCTCTTTCACTCCCTTGCCACCTCTCTCTCTCTCTGTCTCTCTCATCTTTTATCTTCCCTTTCAGACGAAGAGGAAAATGAAAATGTGAGATGTTTTGAGAGAGGAATTGATTTTCACTATATTAACACATATATAGTGAGAGAAAGAGGTAAATGGTGGATCTTTTTACACCAGCCATGTCTGTATCTCCATCTCTTGCTGGTGGAGAGAAGAAGCACTGGTGGCTTAGCAACAGAAAGGTAAAATCAGTCAATCCTTCCGATGAAAGCTCGTGTTTATAGGTGTATACCCATTTGCTAAATGTGTATGTTTTATTTGCAGATTGTAGATAAATATGTAAAAGAAGCACGAGTCCTCATTGCGACTCATGAACAGGGCGAGATTGCTTCGGCTCTTAACCTTCTCGATGCGGCTTTATCTCTCTCGCCTCGACTTGAGCTTGCGCTAGAGTTAAAAGCACGATCGTTGCTTTATCTCCGGCGATTCAAAGAGGTCGCTGATATGCTACAAGAGTACATTCCGAGTATCAGAATAGACTCCGACGACTCATCGTCGTCTCTATCGTCTGATAACTCGTCTACGCAGCTCTCAAGAGAGCGAGTCAAGCTTCTCTCCTCCGGAGGTGACTCACCTGGACGCGATGAACCCAGTTTCAAGTGCTTCTCTGTTTCGGATTTGAAAAAGAAGGTCATGGCTGGTCTCTGGAATAATTGTGAAAAAGAAGGACAATGGAGGTAACTCAACCCTTTCCTGTTTCATTGATTTTAGCATTTTTTGGGAAAATATTTCAACTTCCTATTTTTATAAGATTGAATTTCGGACATGGCTTGTAGATTACGCTAAACCCCCGCCAAATTTGCCCCATGTTAAGAACAGAAAATGGAAAGTCAAATAGCCTTGATTTGAGGCTCTACACGTAATCTGGTAACCTGGTTTTGTTGTGTCGGATGGTCTACGAGTTGCTGAGTTGAGTTATCTGACGTGGTTGAAGTGACTCTGTTTTCTCTCTTAACTCTTGCAAATACAGGTATTTGGTTCTGGGTCAAGCATGTTGCCATTTGGGTCTAATGGAGGATGCGATGGTGCTTCTTCAGACCGGAAAACGCCTAACAACGGCGGCGTTCCGAAGAGAAAGCATTTGCTGGTCCGACGATAGCTTTTCCTTCACCAAGTTCCCACTCTCCAGCGAGCTAACTATCACCAAAGACAACCAGCCACAAACCCCTCCAAGGACCGGGTTTGAGAGCATTACCCAGCTCCTCAGCCAGATAAAGCTCCTTCTCCGCCGTAAGACCGCCGCCATCGCTGCCCTCGACGCCGGACTCAACTCTGAAGCCATCAGACACTTCTCCAAAATCGTCGATGGCCGCCGTGGAGCCCCACAGGGCTTTCTTGCTGAATGTTACATGCATAGAGCTTCTGCTTATAGATCCGCTGGTCGAATTGCAGAGTCTATTGCTGATTGTAATCGAACTCTGGCTTTAGAACCATCTTGTATAGAAGTTCTCTGTACCCGAGCTTCTCTTTTCGAAACCATTAGATGCTTGCCCGATTGTCTTCATGATTTGGAGCACTTGAAACTTTTATACAATTCGATTTTACGCGATCGAAAATTCCCTGGTCCGGCTTGGAAACGTCAATATGTGAGGTACACAGAAATTCCGGGCAAGCTCTGTAGTCTAACCACCAAAATTCAAGAATTGAAGCAAAGGGTTGCCTCAGGAGAGACTGGTAATGTGGACTATTATGCTTTGATTGGATTGAGACGAGGGTGTTCGAGATCCGAATTGGAGAGAGCCCATTTGTTGCTTACTTTGAGACACAAACCCGATAAGTCTACCAGTTTTATCGATAGATGTGAGTTTGCGGATGAGCGTGAGGTAGATTCGATTAGGGACAAGGCTAAGATGTCTGCTTTGTTATTGTATAGATTGATCCAGAAAGGTTATACGAGTGTAATGTCGACCATCATGGACGAGGAAGCTGCAGAGAAACAGAGAAAGAAAGCCGCGGCTGCATTGCAAGCAGCATCTCAAGCAATCCAAGTTCAGGAAACTCATGAACAAATCAAACAAGTCTCAACAATGGCGGTTTTGGAGGTGTCATCCAATTGTAATAGGGTCGAAAACAAAGCCACGACCCCAACATCTCAGTCGGCGTTTCAAGGTGTGTTCTGTAGAGACCTTGCAGTTGTTGGGAATTTGCTATCTCAGGCTGGGTTCAATCGTCCAATTTCAGTAAAATATGAGGCATTGACCTGTTGATTTGGATCTGATTATGTTCATGTTCATGTCCGGGAAATCAAACAAACCACTGTGGGTTTGAAGTAATTAGATGTTTTACACCGGCGGGGGAATCTGATTGTGTTCCCATGTTTGTACAAAAGGAAAATTTTTACTACTGCCAGATGCCGGGAAAATTTTGCCCCTCATTTTCATTTTCTAGCTCTTTTTCTCTCTTTCTGTACAGAGTTAATTCAGTTTGCATTTTGTTAGTTGGTATTTAAATTTGGTGTCATTTTCTTTCGCTTTCCTTCTTTCAATTTTATCCGTCTTAAATGGGAGGGGAGGGTAAATGCTCTCTGTCATGGCCTCTGCAGGCAGGGGGAGAAAGGTGAAGCTTTTGGCTTTCTCTCCTGTGTCTTGTCTGTTCACCCACTAGTATCTACGGTTCCTTTTTTGCAGGCCTATCCATCACACACTTGCCAAAAGGCCTCAAAATCTGACACACCACAAAGATTTCATTAAGAAACTTCTGTTATATACAATAAATCTTTTACTACATGCGCTCAATTACTATTTGTCGCATTTCACTGTATAGGATAATAGGACAATGGTGTATAGATGAACTTTACTGTTTATTTCTACCCAAAAGTTGAATTGATATGGAATATGTCAGTTTTTTCACAGTTCTGGGTGATGTGTCAAAGAATGGGTCGAATCAACACTCAATACAACAACACTCCATTTTTGGGAAGGGGAGGGGAGGAGTAGGTGAGATTGCTTTTCAAACTTTTACCTGCCATCATTAATACCATGGCCAGGTAATTAGTGCTTTCACTGCTTTGTGCTGTGCTGTTCTGCTTTTTACGCTCTAAACTTTTTTTCACCGTACCCCATGTAGTACAAAATTTTCTTCGAAGAATAGACTAGTTTCAAATTTATTTTTTAATCATTGTTATATTTCAAAATCAAACTTCATTATCAATAGGGTTTTCACCCTATTTTACGAGTAATAATTATGAAATTTTATTATTTTACGAATGAGATTTTTTTTAGCTTATTCTATCTAATTAAATGTATTATTTTTATCTGAATTCTGTTAAAAACAATCCGGTGAACACAATATTTTTTAATTATTAATTTTTGAATAATTTTAATAATTCAATTTAATAATCGTTATCAATTAACCAATACAATAAAAGACAAATTATTGTAACAACATAAAAATAATGGTAAAGCATATATGTTAAAAGAATTTTTTTTTGAAAAGTAAACAAGACATTAAGTCTATTTAGATTAAATAATTAACATAAAGAAGATTATGTTAAGAATCTGGAAGATATTGAATTTTTAGATATTGAAAATAAGTTAAAAAATTGGGATATACCCCAGTATTCAACTAAACAAATATATAATATTGGCGCTATTGATACATATATATATATATATATATGCTAGTAAGGACAAGGAGAAAGATGGAATTTTTATGAGTATTCCGTATTTTTATCCAATTTTTTGCAATTGTCGATCAATAAGGTAGTGGATGGTCGGATAGAATCAAAATATTTGGATAATTAAAAATTTGAACACCCATATCGACAAGCTTTCTTATAAAAATATCTTACCAAAAAAAAACGCAAATATTCTTAAAAAACAACCCTGTAAATAATATTTTAAAGTTACTGTATGAGGATTGAAGAACACTTTTAAAACAGTAGTGTCTTAGTAATTTCAAAACACTTCATCTTTTCTTAACAATGTCATTCCGAATAACTATTTTTTAAAATTGCTTGAATTTAGAAAATAATTTTTATTTGAAAAAAATAGAATTTTTGCCCTGCTTGGCTGGGGTGAAAAACTCCTCTAACTTCTTTAATTGACAGTTGTAAGAGGGGAAAAGGTTACTGTACCAAAAATTATAATTTTTAAAAATTAAATTATAATTTTTTTGATGTGTAAATTATAATTTTAAAGAACATGATCGATCATGAAAAGTTGAGATTGATACTAGAGTTCGTGATCGATTATGGGTGTCTATAATCAATCATGATCTTCCATTAAATAATTATAATTTTTTTTAAAATTATAACCGGAAATACAATAATAAATTTTTATTTTTAAGTACAATAAACTTTCCCTGCAAGGGTGGAGAAACATTGTTTTATTAGTACATCTAGTAGTTTAAAAATGAGGTTTGTTGAGAATCAATCAATACGCTTGGCAACCTACTGTGCTTGATTTTCATGATTTGGAGCACGCGTCTCTGCAACAAGAAAGTAACTATTGAGTGCCAGAAAGAAGCCAAGGGTCATCAATGAAATGTTTGACCATTATGATGGTGAGTGGTGTATTTTACTACTACTGTACCATTTTATTCTGGGTAAAACAAGCAAGCAAGCAAGCGTCATTGTACAAAAATTACTAGTAAATGCAGATTAGTTTTAATTCATTTTAAGTTGTACTATTACAATTGAATAGACATATTCCAATTTGATCGGATGTTTTACAGAGAAAATTAACATCAAATTTAGTAGTAATCAATTATTGTAATTATTGGTAGTGCACTCTTGTCATTTTATAATGTGAAACTTATTTCTTGTGAATATTCTAATTTTGAATTAAATGATTTATTTTTGACTGAAAAAGAGAGAAGATTAGTCAAAATGAGCGTAAGCTGGTTCGGATATCCTGACTGTTAAACTTTAAAAAAAATAAAAAAAAGCTTTATTATATTCTTGACGAAAAAGATTACAAATAGTGGGAAACTTTGAGAAGCTGGAAATTTTTAGAGTGTACACATTATTTTTTGTTTTACAGGTTTCCACACCACACCACACCCCACCCCCAAGCAATGTAATTTATTTAGTAGGAGTAATGTATAGGTTTCTTGAGGAATGAGCGCTTCCCTTCCACGCTAATCAACATGCTACTTTAATTCGTTTGGGAATTTCAGTCTCTAACTTTTTTATGTAGCCTCAATTTACTCTCATCAATGAGTTTTGCCAAGATTGCTAATACAAAATGTTGTATTCAAATTTCAAATTCAAATTTAAGTAAAAAAAATGAGTAAAAAATTTGATTTAATATGAACTTTTTCAATGGATAAAATTAAATTATATTCAAATCTTTTTAAAAATTTTCTTGCTGCATTAGCAATGCATGTGTGAACAGAAAATGTAAAGAAGATGTTCTCAGAAAGACAACCCACTTTCTTGCTGCATTATGTGCAGATGAGAGTGGCATTAAAAAATAGTTGTAGATGGGGGGAGGTGATGAGAGAGAGAGAGTCACGTGCATGCCAAAAACCAAAACAAAAAGAAAAATAAACGAAACTTTATCTAACATAAAACTCATAATTTATTTAATAGTTATATTAAATTTGGTCATTATAGCATTACTCAGGAAAAAAAAAAAATTTGGTAGAGACCAGTAGAATATGTTTTTAACCACACAAATCAACCACAAAAAAGGGATATTGGTTAAGTTCAAGAGTCATTCAAAACAGTTCAATTTGCAATATGCTCTGATCAATGGCCTACTTGTCTTCAAATAATTCGAGCACTAGTGTTTTAAGACAGTTGAAATCCCTTGTGAACATGAGTAACTTTATCTACCCACCCTTAGCTGGATCTGCTGTGTGATATAGCTAATGGCTCCTCCATAATAAAAAAAATAAAAATGAAAAGCACCGCTTTTTATAAATATTAAATATTTTAAAATATAATTTAAAAAACAACTTCCAACTAGAAGTGTGAAAGTCGATAGTGGGGAGAAGGTGGAAGACATACCTTCACGTCTCAACTTCTTGTTTTAAACATGAACGAATGTCAGTCAAATATTTTCCAAATATAAATTAGTAATTGTCAATGTTTACTCTGACAAACATAATATATTTTCTTTTGTAACGACAGAAAAGGCCAGAAGGGGCTGTGCACAGTTTCTACCGAGGGTATCAATTTTTTGTAGTAAAGACTTCAGACTTCAAACTTCAGAAGCAATGGGGCTCTCTGAGTTCTAAATTTTCTTTGTGCGTGCACGATCCTGCACAATATAAACATAAAAACAGATCTTTTCATGGTGAACACGAGTCTGTTAATCGAGTGATCGATCTTGTTACTTAAAACAGGTTGTGAGGGCCAAAAGTGACCAATGAAGTGATGACGAATTGTTTTTAGGGGTCGCCTGAGTGATCCTGGAAGGCTAAAGGAGGTTTCTGGAACAGAAAAAACGAGTTAGGAGGACGGCGGAGTATTTTCTGGCGTATCCTCTCCGACGATCAAGTCAATTTTTTTTTAGAGAGGGGAAGAAGAAAACACTGTGTATATATGTGAGGAAAGGTTATTGCGTACCTCGTCATGTGTTTGTGAGGACTATTTATACCTTAAAAACTCATCATTACTGACAGCATAGCCAGTAGGTGATCATTAGAGGTGGGCAACGTGCACATTGATTTCTATAAGAAATGTCCTCTTTTTAACTGCTCGGGACCCCGAGCAACTAATGCTTCATCCTCGGCCTGGCGAGTGTTTAATGACCTTATCTCGGCAGGGATATATTAAATGTCCGGTCATAGGAACATTTATTACCTTTCACTTGTAGGCCCTCATGCATTAAATGTTGTCTCATCAAGGGAAGGGCGCACTAAATGCTTGCTTTCCCAAATCGCGTATCAACAAGGACATTCTGGTCTTTTTGTCTCTGATCTGACACAATACGCCACGTGCCCACTCTCCTTTGGTTGAATCTTCTGCTTTTCTTGTGCCTCTTGACACTATTTGGGTAAGACGAGGTCATGATGGCTAATCTAGCCTAGCCTAGGCTAGTGACCTGTCCATCAATAGCCCCTGCAGGAGCAGAAACGCCAACGTGGGTAGATACACTTCGGTGTCGAGGGACTAGTATAGTTAGGGACCGATGTACCCCCAATCCGACCGAGGGATGCGTGTCGGTCCATGGCATACTAGGCATCGTTGATCCTTATGAATAGTACCCTCAGGGGAAAGGGATTATATACCGACGAGCACATGTCGTGATCATTGCAGGGAGTATCCATTGACGCCGAGTACACGTGTCGTCATCTGAAAATGTTTGAAAATGTCCCATCAACTGCCCCTAGCCTTCGATCTTCTGACGCCGAGGACACGCGTCGTAAGGAAACGAAGGGTTCTGCAACTACCCCAACCACCCCATCATTGCTTTCAGCCGTTTACCGCTGCTTAGGAGGTCGTGCGCATTAAATGCGCTTCTTCTTGCTTCATGCCCAATGATGGGGATGGG